TTTCCCCCCCCCCCCAACTAGCCCACCAAGAGCTATAGTTAATCTTCTCACCCACATGGGGGGAGGGGGGTTGTTCAGATGTGGGTGACAGCGTGTAATGCCCCCCTCCCCCAAACCACTCACAGTCTGGAAGCAGCAAGCCCCTAGTCCAGGTTTCCTCCCCCTTCCTTTGACCATGCTCCCTTCTGTACCCCCTCACAACACCGCACGCCCCTGTAGACAGACACAGATATAAAGTGGAAATGAATTTATTTTAGCATAATGAAGACAAAGAACAAAGCATTCTTAGGTGTTTTCTTGTCAGCAATATATCCTGCCAGACAATCATGCACAAGGGCTGCTTGACCAGCCTCTCCTTGAGGATATCTCTTTGGTTCCTGTGCTGCTGTTGCTGCCCAGACACAACTCTGTAGTCTGGCCAATGCCTGTCACACTGCTTCTTCCTACAACTCTTTGAAAACCTCTCTGTGGTTCTCACAGATCTTGTGCAGCATGCAGGCTGCCACTACAAGGGCCATGATATTTTCTTGCTCTATCTCAGGCTGGCATGTAAGAACCCTCCATCGTCCTTTCAGTTGGCCAAATGCACATTCCACAGCCATCCTGCAACTGCTCAGGCAGTAGTTAAAAACCAGCTTCCATGGGTCAGTGACGCTCCCTCCGTAAGGCTTCATGAGCCAGGGCTTTAGGGGGTAGGCAGCGTCCGCTAACATAAGCGGGGGAATGGTGACACTGTGGATCACTGTCTCCCCCACTCCAGGTGCATAATGTCCTTTCTCCATGAGGCTAGGCAGAGGGGAGTTTGTGAACACATGTGTATCTTGTGCACTGTCAGCCCAACTGGTATAAATGTTAGTGAACCAGCCCTGGTGTTCCACCACAGCTTGCAGGATCATGGAGGCATATCCTTTCCTGTTTGTGTATGTCCTCCCCCTCCCTGCAGGGCACAGCACTGGGATGCGAGTGCTGTCTAAAGCCCCCACACAGTTCAGGAACCCCTTCTCATTAAAGCCATCTATGACTTGCTGCGGATTTGCCAGGTGGATAGTTTTGTTTGCAGCAATCTCCTTCAGCAGCTGGCATACCTCATGAATTGCCAGCCCGACCATGCAGGCAGCCACGCTGAACGGGTTCATGATGTAGCGGTGGCTGGATGGGCTGGCCAGTTTCATGACCGCCATTGCAACCTTTTTGTCTGGCAGGATGGCCCGATGCATGTTAATGCCCTGCCTCATGATGTGGGGCCCCAGCATTGAGACAATATGATAGAGCATCTCCCTTTTAATTCAGAACATCTCCAGCCATTGCTGGTCATTCCAAGTCGTCAGCATGATTTGCTCCCACCAGTCTGAGCTGCTTTCGCAGGCCCACACAGTGTGAATTCTGGTCCTCAGGTTTCTCAACACAGCCTGGTCAAATTCCACTTTTTTTGCTTTCCTCTCTGTATCCCAAGTCCTCTGGGTATCTGTATCTTCTTATTGTCATTAATGCTGTTAAGCCAGCAACATGTCTTGCAACTGAACGCTGTAGCACAGTTCCTATCCTTCTCAAGCATTCCAGCAGTAATCCCCAGGTAAACAGAATTTGCAGAAGCAGTACTGCCACTTCCTCCTCCTCCTGCTCACCCATGTCCTCCATATTCTCCATTCTTCACTGCGTTGTTCTCCATCATGGCATATTTCATCCTCATTCTCCATTTTGCCCCTCTCTGTCAGCAGCAGCTTCTCACCTGTCTGCACTAAGCAGGGGGCAGGGACTTCAGGTTGTTGTGTGGTCTGGAGCTTGGTGTAGTTGTTTTCTCAACACTTCACCCCGGCACCCCGGGACATTGGGGATTTTGCACATCCTTTCATCCTGAGCATAGCAGCCACTGGTGTTCTGATGTAATCAAGATTGCAAACAAAAAATGTTTTGCCTACTCCTCTCCTGGTAATGCAGGCTGCTCAAAACTTTTGCCACTTTAGGGAAAACAGGCTGTGCTTTTGTAATAAAATAATCTTGCTCAAGCAGGCAGGTAAGTATCAATTTTTGCAACATTCCAGCCCATCACATACCAACATTGAGCAGCCATCCCAAAGTACAATGGCCTTATTTACCCCATCACCAGGTCTTTTCTATTGTTAACTGGATGCTTCATCACCTTTGGGTCTTTTGACATTTACAGGTAAAGACTTCACAATCCTTGGAATTTTCCCAGATCCTCATGTAAACACAGCCTGAGTACAAAGGCACCCTTCCCCACTACAAAATTTTCCATCCCCCTTTCACAAATCGCTTGTGCTGTTGACCAAAAACTGCTTTGCCAAGTCTCAGAAAGCCAAGACCAGCAGTATGGAGCTGATGGCCCAGGAGGCTGATACCTCTAATGCCTGTGGACCCAAGTGGACCTGGAAAGAACTGGAGGACTTAATCAACATTTGGTCGGAGCAAAGGATCATAGACAGGCTGGAAATTAGGAGGAATAAGCCCGTTTATGTCAAGATCACAAAGGGCATGCAGCTGCGAGGGCACAATCGTGTCTGGACCCAGGTTTGGTGCAAGATCAAGTCCTTGAGATCGGTGTTTTACAAAGCCAAAGATGCAAACTCTTGTTCTGGGGCAGGTTGCACAATTGGCCCTTTCTATGACAAGCTGTCCATCATTCTCTCCAAGGATGCAGGTAACAACCCAGGTATGGAGACTTTAAGCACCGGGGTTGGGAAGGAGGAGGCAACGATGGCAGCAGCCCCTCCTGAGGGTGAAATCATGAGTATGTCTCAGCTGTATGGAGACCATTCCCTGCTCCCTGATGAGTGGCAGGAAGAACTGTCAGTCACCATACACTTGGTGCCACTTAGCCCCTCCGTTCCATGGACTAGCACAGATAAGGAAGCAGAGGAGGTGGAGGGTCAGGAAGAAACCCATGTGGCCAATACATCATCTACTGTTAATGAGACCCAAGAACATGCTGGACCTAGTAAATCTCTTGTAATGTGCCTCTTGCTACTGCCAGGCAATGCCTGGGTTTAGGAGGCCAGGGGGAGGGAAGGGAATTCATGTGTTGCTGTAGGTGGGTCACCATGTTCTTTCGGTAGTGGTGCATGATGGATTCAGTAGTTCATAATGTAACAGACACCAAACTAATTATTTGCTTTTAATTAAGTTTTTGCAGCTAGCATGGGCAGTGGCAGCCATGGACCTGTTTCCAAAGTGAGTAGCTGTAAGTTTGGAACAATACGAGTAGTGCCCCACTGTTGTGGGGTCTGTTTCTGTGCCTGCCAGCATTTTGTGCACTACATGATAGGAGTGGGGGTGTGTACTTTTTTCCTCTTGGGGGGAAGGCAACCGTTGCTTTTTTATTTGTTTATCAGTCACCGTGACCCATGGCTGCCAGGAACGGTGCCCTGCTTGTACTTCAGCAGAGCGCTGCAGAGATTTTTGCAGCAAGCAGAGACGGTCCCACAAAACCTCACTCAAGGTTTTGGCAGACTCCTCAATAGCCAGAGCAGAACATGCAGATGTTCTGGCGGGATGAACTCCATGAGTTGCTGTGTAAGGAGGATGCCATCTTTGAGGAAATGAGAGAAACCATGCAGAATTTGAAAGGCATGGTCAATGAGTCCATTGTTAAATTACAGAGGTCACAGGACACTTTCAATGATGCCTTTCAGAGTGTGCAGAAGTACCTAAATAAATGGGTACGGAACCCAAAGGAGACAAGTCGGTCTGCTCATCTTACCTCTGTGCAAGATGAGCAGAGAATTACAGCTGAGCCTATTTCCTTTAACTCAGTGGGGTCACAGGAGGGCCATATGACTGCCAGCAGGGCCAGGAGGGTGCCACTGCATTTCAGGGAGACAGGAGTTGTTCAGGGTCGTGGTGGGGTGAAGCCAAAGAAGCACAAGTAACTATAATAATGTGTTGCAAACAATAAAACCTCATGGTTTCCTGGCTTCCTGTGTCTGCCTCCGTATCCACCCTTACACTGCGTGGTTGTAAAGGTGGATTTTGTTCATTGTTTGGGTTCATTTCTCTCGGTTAATTTTTCCTTCCACTTGCTGCATGGTGCCAGGGAGGAGGGGTTGGCAATATCTCTTGCACAGGTACACAGGGGGGCTCAAGAGGTAAACAGTGGGGCTGCCAGGATGGGTCACAAGACAGAAGTGCTTGCCTGCACACTAGTGTTTTGCAAAGGCTGATGTGTCACTCCCCAGCAGCCCGGCTTGCTTTTTGCCAGCCACCAGCCACTTTGCAAAGTCACCCACAGGGGCTTATGCCTTCCCAAGCTCTTTGGCTCACCCTTCACAACCCTTCCTTGCATTTTCCCTAGATGGAAACTTTCAAAATGCACTTTTTCAAGATTAATTCATGCTCTTTTCCAGCTAGGTGCCAGGCACTGTCTCCTTTGTTTTGGAACACCAAAGCAAGGCCATGGATAGGGGCAGTGGTGTGAGGTTTAAGACCTGCTTTGCTTGCATGCAAACCCAGAGACTTGGCAAACTTTTCCGCCTTCTTTTCATGCTCTTTTCCAGCCCAGCACCAGAGTGTCTGGGTTTTTTTCACACCAAAATGAGGCTGCTGGTGGGGGTTGCCCTGCTCAAGCACTATAAATTGGGGGAACCAAAGGTCAGGGTGAACATTTGCAATATCAGTGAGGGAGACATATTTGCTGTATCA